CCCCCCCCCCAAAAAAAAAAAAAAACAACCAAAAAAACAACAGAAATCCCTATGACTAGTTCTCAAATGCAGGCTGATCTCAAAGAATTTTGTACAAAGACGAACAAGAAATGACTCAAAAGGAAGCTGGATAGTCTTAAGGAACAGCTGGGACTGCAGGTTTTCAAGTTGCTTTTGATGTGTCTCAATTGACTAAGGTGATTCTTTTTTGTTATTTGACAAATGTAGTCATTTCTTCAAAGCACCCAGAGGAATGTAAGATGAGCCCCATGGTCTATCACACCTACAGCATAGGTCCAATCAGTACAAGAGAAAGAAGCAGCAAGAGAGGAATATAACGTGCTATCAGCATCTTGCATTCCCTAGCAAGAAGCTATCCTTAACGATTTAAAATAAGGAACTGTTCTCATATGGGGTTATTCTCCAGAGTGACTATAAGAGAGGCTTTATCTTATACAATAGCTCCTTCTCTGAATGCACTCTGTATCATTTCTGTTAACGCTGAATGACAAAATAGGTATTACTAACTTTAGATCATAGCTCTAGGAAGCATGCAACACTCAGAGAAAGGCTCTGGATGTATGCTAGCAATGTTTACCAGATTCACAAAGAAGGCCAGTTGTTAATTGCACTGAGGGCAGGTTAAAGAACACTTTCATTAAGACTGTGCTAATTTCATACAGCCACAACAAAGCACTAATGTGACAAGGAGACAACAGCTTTTCCATGTCAGGTACGTGGATCAATTGGAAACAGGATGCTGTTTTGAAATTTTTTTCACGAAGTTACTTTTTGGAGTAGAACGATACCAGCATATGGTTCCTCAACACAGTTTTGCATCCAAATGTCCATCCATGGATTTCTCCAATGTTTCCCAAACAGAATCAGTATTTTGCTGAGAGCCACTTGCTGCCGGGCTCTCAGTCACACATACACTTGCTATCTGAAGAATCTGGCTGAAATTGAAACCATGAACTTGTTAGGAAAAGCATGGTTACTCAAGAGCTATTTTCACTATGAGACTGGGTCCACTAGAAATACACCATCAGTGTTTGTTGTGAGCTTGCCAGAGGTGAGCAGAAACATCCACTGCCGTGAGACCGAGATAATGAAATATACTAGGGAAGTAGCTGCCAGCTGTGGTTCACAAAAGGATGCTAAGTATTGTACTCTCTACAGCTACACCTATACATATATAATTATAGAACTGCACAATAATAGAGCAACTCATAAACACACATAGAAGTCATTCAACATTTGCTTTCTATATGTACTTTTACTCAGGGGATTGATTACTGTAGCAGCACTGAAGGTGTTAACTTAGTGCTAAATCTTTTGCTACATCAAAAAGATTCAAATGATTAGTTGGAAGGTTACTGTTCTCCCAGGCACTGGGATTTTTTTGCACAAGACCAAATTCCCCTAGGCTCCTTGGTTTTTACACTGGAGGAATACGTTTGAACTCTCCATGTAAATCACAGAGCAAGGAGTGAACCCAGAGAAGGCAAACCAAAGTGAGTACATTATTGTAGGCATGGGACTTGATGTTTAACTTTGTGCCATATTTCTTTATTTCTTCTGCATTCTGTGCCTAACTGCATTTTGCCTTCATGTGTATTAATTTAACATAGTAAGAGGGCTTCAGGCAAATGGCTGCCTTTGAAAACCTAAGCTAACCTTCAGCATAGCCCATCACAAACGAGCTTGCTTTTTATCATATTCCCCAAGGTACTGCCTGATCCCAGAATAGATAACAGTCAGGACAGACGAAGGGCCGTGACATGAAATGTAAGAGATGATTGCCCATCCGCAGCAGGGATGACTGAATCCTGCTGGCAGCCCTCTCATTAAAAAGTCAGGAACTGGGACCACAAATCCTACTAGGAAAGAAAATATGATGCCATAGAAATGACATGACATATGAAAAACCGTATGAAGCAGTTCCAAAATGTTTCCAAGAGTGATGCTGCTATCTGGAATCACTTCACAAAGGAAGACAACATATACCACTTCATAGCTGGTAGGTACAGTGTAGTGCTGCAGCCCAGTAAACACTGTCCTGACATTGCTAGTACAGGCCACAGGCCTCCTGCTAAGTTTCCAGGGATTCAGGAACACAGCTTGTCAAGCTCACTCTGTCTCAGTTTCTTTTGACATGCCTGCAAACTCCCAACTTAGCTATAATAACAATTTTCCTTATAACTGTTGGTTATGCCTAATGTTTTTTTTTCTTATTTTTTCTCATATTTGTATGATATAAGCACAGTTTTATGGAGAGCTTCTCCATGAAACATATGGTATGGTAAAAGGGGCCTTAAAAAGTACAGACACAGGATGTGGTCTGGAGAAGTGCACATGTGGGACAATGAGATGGAGCACAGCATGGAGGCCCCAGCACTATAACAGCTTGTCCATGGTCAGTTGAAGAAACGCAGACTCAGCTGGGCAAAGCCACACTTAAAGGTACAAAAAGAACAAAAAGAAAGCATCCAGCTTCCATAGAATTCACTGTGTAAAGGAAATTTAGATGTACAATGAATAAAGAGCAATCAAGGTGTAAAGCATGTTAGCAAATGTAATAATAAATGAAGTATTACTTCAAGAGACTCCTAAGCTGAGAAATGAACAATATTACATTCCTTCTGACTAAAAATTCAATCTGTATGATTCCCTCTTATCCCCAAAACCTTCAATGTTAGGGCCCCAAGGGGTCCATACACTTGTGGGAAAGCAAGAATTCTCTCCTCTGGCATCATCACTCTCATGACAGCAAAAGAATGAACAGATCCATGCCCTGATCCGGTCTTTCTTCTCTTGAAACATCCTCATGCACAGCCTCACATCTGACCAGGAGAGCTACAAGCCTCCAAGAATATGTAGTCACGGACTTCTTAATTTCATGCTTTACCAGAGCTAAATTACATTTTACACCATCCAGGCTAGTCAGCAGCTATCACTAGTTTTCTGAATGACTAAGCACCAAACAAAAAAAACAGTATCATCACAAAGGCACTGGTAGACTAAGAGGTTGAGCAGCACGTTGTTCTCCTCCACCTCATGTTACTGCTGCTGACATTACAACATGTGGTTGGCCCAGACATCTCATCTCTTGAACAGTGTTCAGAACTGTGAAGAAGTCACCAGAGGACTCCTTGAATGTTGGATTCATTCTTGTCCCCTAAGGGAAAGTTCAGAGTCCCAAAGTTCCCAAATTTGAGCAAGTTGTCCATTCATGTCTAATTGCTTCTAAGTTAAATACTTTAGCAATAAGAAACACAGAGAAAGAGAGAAAGTTGTATAAAATATTATTCAAAATCAAACTTATGGCTCCTATTATCCAGGAGACTGTCTGCTTCAGCTCATGCTTGGGTGACTCCCTATTTTGAAAAATGAATATAGAAAAGAGCACGTACCCCACTTGAGCTTTTATGAGTAGTATTTGTACACTGGACACTGGAAGTATTTTATTCCTTCTACTCTTCCTTGCCAGCTAGTGCTGAGGAAAAAAGCAATATTAATTTTTATTTGTTTCACCTTCCAGAGTCAAATTAATGGATGAATCAGGCAACAAAGTGAAAGGTAGTAAGACAGAGATATACTGAGGCTGTGTTTAGCAGGTGGAATCAGAAATATGGAGACTTAAGCCTATCAATATATTTCCAGAGATCTGTATAATAACAGCAATTGAGAGCTTTTATAGCTACACAAATCTGTCAAACACCACTTCCATGATATTCCAGGAGGGAATTGGTCAAAAAGCTTTTTACCGAGAGATAGGGGAGTTTTATAGAGAGAGGGGAGATCAGTTCAGATCTGATCTATTTGATGCTTCTTTAAAGTATTTTCTTTGAAGTATTGAAACACCACCCCTGACCAAAGTAGAAAAGGGAGTGCTATCAAGTAAACCTAAAATAAATTACAAAAAATGGCAGCTCTCCAGAGGCAGTCAAAAACCCCTCCCCAAAAGCACACTGGTGAGAGTTATTGTAGGATGAGGAAACTAGTGGGAAAGAAGCAGTATTGGATCATGCAGAGGCTCAAACTATGAAAAAAAATCTCCAAAATGGAGGACAGTTCCTCTTTCAAAGTGACAAATTCATGTTTATACTGAAAAAAGTCTCTACTTTCAAAACCTAATTATTCCAGCCACCAGCATAGAACTGAGGACTTAAAGACCCTAAACAAAACAGGCTATCATGTTTTATTTATAAGAAACTCATACTAAGATTGTTTATTACTTTCACTACTAAATTATAAGGAAGCTCAGGTTTTATTCACGCCACATATATTTTGTAATACTCACTGGAATTAAGGAATTCTACAAAAAGCAGATTACAGTTTATAAAACATTGCTTTAACTCGGACACACCGAGGATCTCATCTAATTTGCATACACATATATGCATATTGTATTTTAAATTAACATCTCTTGTATTTGCCTTTCCTTTTTTCTTTCCTTGCTAGTGGAACAGAAATGGTTTGAGTTCCCCACTACTAAAACATCATGGAAAGGGCTGGCCTCTGCCTTTCTGTTCTGGGTGAGGGTACAAGCAGGCTGCCCTTTGGGATGAATCTGCTTCAAAACCACTCTGCAGCCAGCTGCCCATTTAGGGTTGCATTTGTTTATCCCAGCCCTTCTGCTTCTTGAATTAAACACTGCCTATGTCAAAAATAGTCTGACAAGCAAATGACCTTGTTTAGATCTCAATTTAGCTTTTGAATTGCTAATATCCATCTACGCAAAATATGCTTCTTAAGCGGGTGTCGGGGCATTTAGTGATCTTTGTTCCCACATCCATTCCCAGACAAAGGGACAGCTGCACAGCAAGAGCCTCAACTATCTGGTTACTGTTTATTCTCAGCATGCAAAAAGTCTCCAGAAGTTGCCCCTGGTGCTGTTTATGACCTGTGTCCTCTCCCTGTGCTTGTCTTCTACTTTGCTGATGGATTAGCAATGACATCTAGAGAGGAGAAAAGAAAACAAATCATAAAAAACAAGCACTAAACAAGCCCTGTTCAGCTATGCCAAGCAGTAAAGGCTTGCATATTGCTGCATTATTCCAACACTGGACCAGACTACATTTTGTGGATGCAAGCCTGCTTCTCACAAGCTGGCCTCATTACTTCTGAAGGCACACCCATCACACCCGCTGTGCCAGAGAAACCAGAGCAAAACCAGATGGAACTCAAAGCAACAAGCAAGGCAAGAACCTGAAACACACCACTGGCAAGAGAAAGGAAAAACCTTCAGAGTCCAGGAGGGTAACAGATCTGTTAACCCAGCCCTGAGCTAGCAGGGGCAAAAGCTGCAATGTGAAATAACACAAACAAGAGTACCAACTCTGTGTTTAAGGTGATGAAAAAAAGAATACTTTTTACCATCGTGGCTCCTTTTCTACTTCTTTGGTTCTTGTTTTTCCACATGTTCTGTTCATGTGGCCATTGCTATAAATAAAAAATCCATCCTGATTTCTGTTCTTTCTATTTCTTCCAGATATTTCAGAGAGTTTCTTTGGCTATATTTATTTCTTTATTGGTTGAAAAGTGAACATACTGTTACTTTTCTGTATATTTTTTATACTTATCATACTTCCAGTCTCACAGCGACTGTCAGACTGTGTTTGGTTAGAGTTCAATCATTGCCATTGAACTGCTGTAAATGTGAAAGACAAAATAATAGCACAATCCATTTATAAACTCCTCCTTTCTGACATCAAAAAGTCAGGGACTGTTGAACACTGGCAGCTGATGTGGTGAATGTGAGCTGCAGAAGTATTTCCTACTGCAATCATGATGATGGAAAGCCACTTTGCTTGAAGAGAAGACTTTTTAAAATAGATAACTGACGTAGCTTTAATTTCCAGTATTGTTCCAAAGATCACAAAGCCACACTGTGCTGAGGAGATAAAATTATAGAGAGTACCTATGGAATACAGCAGAATACAGGTTTTCTCTGGAAGTATTCCCAGTGATATCCCAAATCAGCTCTGAAGGCAGTGTGGCCAATGATAACAATCCAAATTCTTTCCCTCTTTCCAAAGGAATACACCAAGTGGATAACAACATTCCCATGAGGAAGGATTACAAGCCCAATTGTTTTTAACAGAAAACTGCAATGAAACAAGAGAATGCTACATCCAGAAACCAGCACAGGAAAATACTAGCTGGCCTGGAACAGTGGAATATTCCTCTAGAGAAACACACCACTTAGAGACTGATGGCAGCCTCCTGTGCTGCACCCTTGCTGTCCTAAGTTGCTCAACTACATGCTTCAGAACATCTGCTTTGACATGAGTTTGGTTTGATTTCCCAGGAAAAGGGGTTATTTTTCCTCTAATGTGATTCTGTAATTCTGTAAAGACACTCCGTGCTTTAGAAACTGATTACAGGTATGCACTGCATCCATCCTTCCTACAGCACTTTTTTTTCTGTCCACAGGGGAACCATTCTTTTCATATTTTGCAACTTTCTTTTCCTTCTTCTTCAAGCTCCTAACACATTCTTTCTGTTTTTTCTGACCATTCAGTAGCACAGCTTGAGAAAGATGCTTCATCACGGGAACAAGAAGGAAAATCAATTTACATTTACATGAGGATGTAACTAGCTCTGTTTTACCTGATGTAAAAGAGAATATGAGCTGTGTCCCATGTTGATGCAAAACTGTTTCTTTTCTCAGAGCTGTCTTCATGCTTCTAAATAGCATTTGCACACTGGAAACTGATTCTGAACAACTTGAAAAGACTGTGAAGCCACACTCCGACTGCTCAGGAGATGGGGCTGAAGGCAGCAGCAGGATACCCAGATACAGGGCTCTTGAAAGATTTTACTGCTTCGCTTTCCACAGAGGTAAGAAAATAAAATCAAAGTCAGTCCTGTGGGATGAGAAAAAAAAAAACAAAGAAACAAAATCACTGGATTGGACAAGTAGAAATAATGCAAACAGTGGAACATAGTTAAAGACTACAGGTTCCTTCTAACACTACAAAATGTGCACACTGTCAAAATAATAATTTAGAAAGTAATTTAGGTTCAATGGCTAGCAATTTACTTACCTGCGTCTGCTGCTGGCTCTCCTCTTCAGTGTTTTTATTACTCCAGCAAAATTGTATATGTTTCCAGAGGGAAGGAGCCTTGCTGTTATCACCCCCTGGAGAAACTAGAGAGAATTCGTGTCTGTGTTCATGGAGAGAGAAAGAAGACTGTGCAAAGAAGTAAAGAAGAAAAAAACATTTATTTGTTCTTTCCCACAGTACAACTGATTTAAACATAAGGAAATACAAAAAAAAAAAAAAGCAGTATATGTAAACTTAGGGAAATATAATCATATACTCTGCTTACAACCTGATCTTGGAGGACTAATAGAATTCGATACCAAAGCTGCTAAGTACTTCCTACCAGCAAATATGTAATTAAGAGCAAACTGTTCAGTTGATTTTCTCTATTGTCTAATACTACCAGCAGGATGCATTTCAAAAACCTTTCATGCAGTTTGTTTTTAACGTGGTTTGGAACAATTACATGGAAAAAAAAACTGGGTAGTTATCCAAAAGTATGTCATTGTTGATCTTCCATAGGAATACCCTGGGTCCTATAAACCAGGTGTTGCTATATCATATTGGAAGTGAAAGGCAACATTTCAGAATTTTTTTTAAGCAAGATTATGCATGCTACAGTGCCTCACGGAGTTCATGCAAGTAGCGTTCTTGCCAGCACTTTAATTGGCACTTAGCTTCTTTTACAGCTTGTTTGCCTAGACAGCCTGCACAAAGTGTAGCTTAGAGCATTATAAAACACAGCCTTACAGGAAATACGAATATTCATTTGATAATTGCCATGACAACTCAGCAACGTTAGATTTAAGAATCATTAGTTTGGTATCTGTGAGATGCTGAGTGCTTTTCCACCTCCGGGCATCTCAGGGCTGGAGGAGCCTGGAGTATCAGCTCTGAGAGGGCTCAGGCTCAGAGTCGCAGTCATTCACGCAACAACAGCAAAAATTGTTCAGAGATTTATTGGGCTGAGCACTATATCCCCCACTCCCACTACAAGATGGCTCACGATAAGTCCCTTTTAATGAGAAAATGAAATTTGATTGCAGATATAGACACATAGGAAGAATAGAGAATAATGCAACCTACTACAGTCAGAAAATACTTGTTAAATAAACCCAAGCTTCACAGCAACATGCTGACTGCTGAAACTTTTTGACAAAATCAAATGGGAAGTGCATGGAATGGGATGGCAGACTTGGAGTTATACAGATGACGAGATGGTTGATGGCCAGGTAATTAGTAAAATGTAATTTATTTAGTCTCAGAATGAGAGTTTCACAATTCTCTGCTCTAGAAAACTTAGAAATTTAGCTTCTTGGCTATAATTTTACGGTATATAGCATTTGCCATTAGTACATTTGTATCTGGGAGAGGGGGGTGGTTATTTTTTTTGCCTTTTTTAATGATGATCTTTTCTAAGATGAAGGGTGAATTTTACACATCCCTTGAAACAGAAGCAGACAGCATTTCTTAATTAAGGGTCATACAATGTATTGCTACAGTTTTCATTCAATTTACCTTCTGACAGAGCACCACCCGAGCAATGCTCAGCACTAGCTAGCAACACTGCTAAACACAGTTCTGAAAACGTGATCTGCCATCTGAAGCCAATATAGAAACCAAAAGTTTCTTCTCAACATTGAGATACCATTTTCAAAAGTATTGTTCATGGCTTTTTGAATTTCATGAGAGAAGGGAATCATAATCTGCATAGCCTGGATCCAAGCTACCCAGCGTGCATACCTAACAAGCATCGTGAACAAATGCACCACCACCACAGGCTGCTCTTTGATTCGTACAAATGGGTTTCTTAACTCAACCTGACATCACAGCTGATTAGACAAATAAAATTTCTGGGATAACACTAGTGTTGGTAATAACATTTTCTGAATGAGACAGCTATATTTCATGCTAAAAATAAATATATAACTGCAGGTTGTTAGAGGTCATGGAAAAACTTGTACAACAACTAATAAGAAAAAGCAGGTATTTTATAAATGACTGTCTCTTTTCTCATCCTTGTTTATACAGGTTTTTTCTAGCTAATACACAAGTTAGCCAATAGATGCAGCCAATGTACAAGGTAAAGTGCTGAGCAGAACACAAGCTATATTAAAGTTGAGCTGGGCATATTAAAGTTGAGTTGACAGAGGTTAACCAAGAGAGGCATGAATACTAGAAGAACCCTCTTCTTTCCATTCCTCTGACCTGCTCTATTAAACATTCCCCTGTCCCTGGGAAGTACCATACACCAAAGGAGCAGGCAGCGATGGAGGAGCAGAGGCTAGAGATGCTCATTGCAACAGCCCAACTGTTGCATCACGGGATATCCACAGGCAGCAACAGAAAAGGAGAAACTCATGGTCAAATACTCCTCTGAAAAAAATGAAAAATGAAGAAAAAGTTTGGGAACTGCTGGTTTACATCCTGTGTTGTGAAATGATGTCACTGGCTCCCTATCAAAGCAGCTCTTGGAGCTGAAAGGAGACAAAGCCTAGATTTGTGATGTTTCTGACACCAGCTTTCAATGTTTAGCTGCAACCAGAGAGAATCAGAAGCACTCAAACTGCTCAAGGGAGAATACTTAGATGAAAGAAGACACCATTAAGATAATTTTGCATACAAGAGATCACTACAAGACAGCTCTTCCTCTAAAAAGGAATAGCAGTTTTGTGATCTTTAAAGTTAATTTGGATACTCTCATTGCTTACACAGAGAGCTTCTCAGAGAAAATTGAAATGGGAAAGGGTTCTTAGAATTAAGAATGATTTAAGATGATGGGACAATGCTCAAATGATGCTGTAACTTTTGAAGAGTGAATTAGTCTCATTATCAAGCTTTTTCTTTTTTTTTTTTTTGTTTCTACTGGTGCTGAATTTTAAGAGCCATTTCAGAAATATTATCAGAAATGTCCATTTATGTAATAGTGTTCATTTACTTAGAAAGCTTACATTGACACATGAAGTGCAAGCTACCCGTGAACAAGAAAACTAACAATTGTCAGTGGATTTGCAGCAATTCCAAAACTGGAAATGATTAATGAGATGATTTCATGAATTTCTGATTGCTCTCAAGAGTCTGTTTCAAAATGGAAACTGGTAAAATATGAAAAAAATACAGCAGAGATTTTATATTCTCCCCAGAGTCACAAATTCAAAAAATTAAGCCTAAACATATTTGAGCTGTAGAAAACAGCCAACCAGGAACTAAACATTTCCTTTTAGAAACAGAGCTACCGACTGCTTTTCCCAACTAGCAGATTGAGCACAGATCTCAAGGTTCCTTATCACGTGCAGTTTCAAACTGATGCAAAATGCCAACTTACATAAACTGGATAAATACATGCAGTGCTGGGAAACCCAAGTTTAACTACTCAGTTCACCTGCAGTGGTACATTTTGAACAGGGGATAAATTAAACAGATGTTACAGCTCCACCTACTGAACCAAGAAGAAGGGATGAGAAGGGGTATAATTAGCCATTGTAACAAACTGAGGATGTATGCAGACCCTGAAATAGGTTTTTTGTTTGTTTTATTATATTTTGACACAACCATCTGATCTGCCCTTGCAGTCTTGCTCAAGACCACGTATTGTCAGATACCTTAAGCCACCCTAAGGAGGTGTGGGGCTATCAACTTGTTCCATTAGAATCAGCAGCCTGGTTTGGAAACTCACATAAGTTGTAATGTTGTCATTTCTATGTTTACTTACTCTTTGGCTAGCACAAAAGCCAGGTTTGTATGTGTAGCCTCTATATCAGAAGGAGCTTGCTGCAGATGCTGTGTGTGTTCTACATGTTCTAAGATCATGAAGCAAACAGGGATTTTGTAAACCGTTAGTGCCTTTTTTATTCTGTATGACAAAAAAACTACATGAGAAGTTGATCAGTGAAAAAAAAACATCTTGTTAAAAAAATATAAACATATAGCTGTAGTTTCAGCAGACTCTGTCTTAACCCACTGGCAGTAAGCGCGAATCAAATGCACTATTTTGAATTATGCTACTCACAGATATATGCCTTTTGGTACTAAAAGTGGCTGACAACCAGAAATTCTAGCTGTTGCAGAAACCTTTAAGACAACAGCAGATCTGCCAACTACTTCCTACACATTTGGATCACGGTAACAGAGGAGAAATAACTGACAGATGCCAAAAGAAAACTTCTTTGTCAATAACTTACAAAGAAAAGTACGAAAGACTGTGGCAACGCTGCAGGATAGGAGAAAAGCTTTACAGGAAGCATTATCTTTCATGCCACCTGAAAATTTTTTGCAATGAGCAGAGACAGTGCTATGTGATTCAAGAGCCTGTAAAACTAAATACTGCACCTGAAGGAATGGAGCATTCAACAGTATGACAGGTACAACAGACAAATGATGAGACTTTTAGTCAGGAGTATTACCAGAGCCCAAACAGCCACAGAGCATTGGCAAACAAACAGAACCCAAGATGTCAAAACAAAAGTAAAAAGAAATGAAATAAAGAAGCCGCATAGAGTATAAACCAAACAAGAAACGACACTAATAATAACTGGAACTTGAAAACATGCCTAATGTTTCCAGGCTGCAATTCACCAATTTAAGGGCTGGAAAGATGATGGCTAAAAAGAATAGGAAATTTGGAGTCAGACACCTTGAAGGGCAGACTCAGTTGTGTATCTTGGTCCTGCATGTAGTGCATTTTGCCTTCTGCTGTTCTGTATAAAGGAGTTTTCTTGACAAACACAGACTGAAGTGGAGACTTGAACCCTAAATCAGCAGGCAGTGAAGGAGGGTAGCTGATAAGGAGACAATCCTGAAGTAAACAAGAGTGGAGGAAGACACAAGAAATGTAAATTGAAGACTTATAGCATAAATAACCCATTTTCATATTTGATTGTTACGAGCATGGTGAATGAAGAAAAAAGAGATGTAATAGCAATCCAGAAGATATTTTTCCATGCAGGAGGCTATCTGAGGAAGACAGCTGACATCTGAAGAGAGAAGACTGATGGGAGCTGAGAAGCAGTGCAGGTTTCCCTAGGATCTCTGAGGCCTGGAAGTGTCAGATTATGAATGTTCTAATTCTACTCATCCCAAACAACAGCAGCGGCCCCAGCTGCATGGTTTGCAGAAGAAAGAGGTTATAAATCAACAACTGAT